TAACTGCATTCAGTATAAGCTCAAGACACATAAGGGCCCTAACCATATTTCGGCTCGTGATCAATCCATAGATACCGATAGAAAATAAATAGGCACAGAAATGTAATAGATTCAATTCAATTGACAAAAAAAAAAGTACAGAACAAGGGAATATATTGGTAATCGATCGAATAAAAGAATTTTTATTTTAGACAGAAACAATCTTCAAATAGAATTGAAGGGGAATGTGTGCGATAACATAGAACAAAGTTTAATTTATGCTATTTCTAACTAAAGATTTATTACTGGCGAGCCACGATTGCGCCGATCAAAGCTATATATATATATATATATATATATAGTGTTTTTTAAGTTTTTTTAAAAACATTTAAGGATATCAACAAAACTTTTGAAAATTTAAGGATATTTACGAAAGTTTTGAAAGTTAGAAGGGTACTTTTAAATCAAACATGTCTAAAATTAAATGTAAGGATATTTTTTATTTTTATTTTTATTTTTTATAATCTTAAAGAGTATTTTTTAGATTTTTTTTTAAAAGTTAAATATATTATTGAAACTTTGTTATGTCTATATGTGTTTGGTATTAATTTAGCCATAACTCTTAGTATTAACTGTTCTTTTTATGTCTATGATGCATTTGGTGGGGGATAAATTTGCATGATCTTCATAATTAAAAAGGATCTCAAAAGACAACTTTATAGCAATATGGGGAAAACCACTTAATTTTGTCCCATTTAGTGGAAATCCCCATCTCCATAAACAAAGTTCTTTCCATTTCCATTTCCATTTTTGCCTTAAAAAGATGAGAGACTCAAAGGAAAACCAAACAAAAATGAGAAGAAATGGCCTATTGCTTATCGGGCTATTGTTGCTTTTGTGTTCCTCTTGCTTGCATGCAGCTGATGCAAAGCCATATGAGGCCATGGAAGCTCCGAAGAAGCAACTAAAGCGGCAGCTGAGTGAAGATGGCAAGCCTCATGTGCGTCGTTATCCGGAAGATACAAGTTTAAAGAACCATCACTTTATTTCTAGAGAAGCTTTCATCAACTATGGTGGTGCCTAAAAAACATTATGTGCCTGTTTATTTTTACACAACATTTGGTGTTTTAAGCGTCTAATTACGTGTGCGTATTTTTTTTTATGTTCGTTGAGTCGGGATGAGACTAATTCAATACAGAGATTATGTCTCGACCCATTAAACTATGCTCGAAATGTCATTAGGTTTGCTTTATAATATTGTTTGTTTGCAAATACAACATCCTTTGTCATTGGGTGAACACAAATGACATCACTACAAACTCTGTACTGGCTATATCTGGTTCGAAAGGTTGTTTTCGGTACATCTTTGTCTTTAATTTTAATTTTGTGATATCCTGATCGGACGTCTATTTTAAAAAAGACCGTTGCCTCTCGAAATTGGTCGAATAGGTCTTCGGTTCATGGAATATAATAGACATTGTTATTTGATATTAACATATTGTTTTATTATGTAAACATTATATCAAACAAGGAAAACTATCTACAATCTCACAAATAAATTTCTAAAATTCATGTAACGAGACACCCAAAATGAATTCCATCTAGTTGAACTTTGCTGTTCTATGATGTATAAGACACTTATTATATTTTCTTGAGCTTATTATATTTTCTTGAGTGGTGTTAGAATTTCTCATCAATTATATAGTTAGCTCAGCCAACATCCGAATAAGCCACTAGCACACTAGGAACAATGGATGGACGAAAGGTAAGACCAAAGTGGAGTGTTCCCTAGCGAAGAATGAACTTGATAACAAGAAAATGGTCTTTAATAGGGGCATGCAAAAATTGACTGACATAATTGATAGCATGAAAAATATCTAGATGCATAATGGTCAAGTACTGAAGGTTCGCCAACGAGAGATCTATAGAGAGTAAGATCAGAGAAAGAAGAACAATCAGCAGTCAAGTGTTGAGAAACAGCCATGGGGTGTAGATTGATTTGCTATCGAGCAACGGAGTACGAGTAAGAATATCTCAAGCTTATGTTAACTAACTAGTAAAGAGACTATCAGAAGTGGGTGAAGCTTGAAGACCAAGAAAGCAAGGGAGAGAACTCAAATCCTTGGTAGGAAACTCAAAATGAAGATTGCAAGTAAAGCTCTCAAGAAAAGATGGGTTGTTGTCGGTAACAATAATGTCATCAACATAAAGAAGCAAATATATAAGGTTAGAATGTTGATGAAAGACAAAAAGATTGAGCGTGGGGTGATGTATAGTTTAGTAGTGGTGGAATCAAGACAACGAAACCCTTTATGAGATGAACTATAACCCAAGAAAATACAAAGAATGTTGCAGGGAGAAAGTTTGTTAGGCATATAATCACGCTAGAAAGGATAAACACAACAACCAAAGGGATGAAAATTGTCATAATGCAGAGAGTAGTCATAGAGAAGTTCAAAGAGCAACTTACCTCCAAGAAGTGGAGTGAGCAACCAGTTGAGATATAAGCTACAGTGCTAAAAGCGTCAACCCAAGAACGAGAAGAAAGATGGGAGTGGAAGAGAAGGGTCAAGCCAGTTTTAGTCACATGGCGATGTTTTCTATCAGCAAGACCATTTTGAACCCGTGTATATGGACAAGAAAGTTGATGATGGATGACAGAAGTATGCAAGTGAGATTTGAAGCAAGTGCTAGTAAGTTTGGCACCTAAACCATTGCTTTGAAAAACCTGGATACAAGCACAATGTTAGTTTTCCACAAATTTTTTAAATTGAAGAAAAGTATCAAAGAAATCGGATCTAAATTTTAAAGGATAAAGTCAAGTGAATAAGAAATAATCATTAATAAAAATAAGATAGTAAAGAAAATCAGAATGGATTTGATGGGGAAGGACCCCAAAGATCAATAAGGTCTAATACATGGGACAACCTATGTTCATTGCGGGAATAAGGCAATCTCAATGACTTTTCGTGAGCTGACACGTACTACTTAGTGATGGAGAAGAAAATAAAGACGTAAGAGAAAGATGGTATTACCCAGGCGAGCATGTCATAAAATTTATTTTTAAGGACATAAATAAAAGTAGAGTTGTCGCACCCCATCACATATAGTCCTCCATCTCTTTTACTGATCACCACCACCCTTCCTGTTTGACAATCCTATACAACAAGAAGATTATTAATAAATGTTACATAGAGAAGAAAATCAGACATTAATTTACCAATTGAAATAAAAATTTTAGTGAGATGAGAGACAAAAAGACATCTAATAAGTGAATATTTGGAACAGGACAAAGAGTATTCGTGTGGGTAGTGGGTAGGGAGGCACTGTTTCCTACTGTCACATCACAGAGTCTTTACCCATGTAATTTTTAGACTGATCCAAAATAGATGGATCAACAGTCATATGGGTCAAAGCCCCCGTATCCAAAAACCAATTAGCAACCTCAGAATTAGGTGACAAGAATCGATGATATTAAAAGTAGCATTGGTCTTGCAATTGGAGTTATCTATGGAGTATGTTTTATACTCACTCGTACTACTCGTTCTTTTAAGTTGGTATCTCACTTTGTGTGGCGCGTGATGATGATGTTTCAAAGTAAAGAGACTAGGGAGTCAGCGTTAGACCGAATGAATTAAATAAGCCTATAATGTTATATGATAGCAATTTGCACGGTAAATAGGGAAAGGTCACATTAGCTGCTAATTGCTAAGAATGTGTGTGGCATAAAGCTAAAGTAGAACTTCTCTTTAGTCTATCGTAGATTTTCTTTATAAAGATTTCACAAACCTTTAACCATGGGTTCGAGTTATAGCTACACAGATTTGGTTGAAAATATTCAATATGGCTCATATTTTGATTGACCTTTAGTTTTGTGTAATTCAAAATAAAGATCTAAGTCGACCACGGTAGTTACTACGTGAATGAAGTGTTATTGAATCTAACTTTTATTTATTAATAACTAAACAAACAAAAGGCCAAGCAAATAAATACTTTGAATAATAATAAAAGATATTCTTTTTTAGGGTCTTTAGTCTTCTTATTATGTAACTTCAGTAACGTCGTGGTTTCTAAAAGATCTTTCTTGCTATAACTCGAATACAAAATCGAGATATGTGGAAGTTTTTTTTTAAAAGAGAAAACCCAATTACTTTCGAGAGATAAATTCAAAAAAAAAAATCTCTAATTTTAAAAGAGAACGTGTATAGATATTTTCTTAGTTCAACTTAAAGTCTTATTTATAAGATAGATCGAGTTGGTAGAGGTGATGTCAAAGCTAAAGATACTTATTAAATCTACGCGGATTCCCGAAAGAGTTCATCATTCATTTAATACATTAGAACCCATCACAACCCTACAACATAATTACTTTAAATATTGTACATATTTTATAGGTTTTCATTTATTTATTTTTTCATTGATGTTCTTCCTAGAGTATTTCGACCAATAATATTTTTGCAATAATTGAGAACAATATTTTTACTTTTTTTTTTTTTTATATAATTATTATAAACAAAGAAATAAAAAGAAAAATGAAGAAATAAACTAGTAGATTTAACTTCCCAAAAATCCAGAAAACCAATTGGGTTGAGACCCAAATTCAAGAAAATAGGGTTCAATCGCTACCACCACCACCACCAGATTGAAACTCTAATATCATCAGAGCAGTTGTTGCCATTTTGCATTACCAAACCCTAAAAATCATTCTTAATACCACAATTACTCACCATTTTCGACGTCTACAACCGCAGCTATTTAGGGTTCCTAAGGCCGAGGATGGAGAGAGAAGGAATTGCCGGACTTTATATTAGGCATCACGACTCTCCACAATTGTATGATGTCATCCACTTTGAGCCTAAGCTCTCATGATTTTGCTTCCCCAAAATGTCTCGTACCAATAGAGATAGTATTCATCACTTATAAACCTATGATCATTCCCTAAATTGCCAACGTCGGACTCACTCTCAATAATCCTTAACAAGTCACCACGGCTAGAAACAAACAACAAATTTGGAAGCATATATCAAGAGAAACAGTAGTTATAATGCCCAGTAAAATCCAGTAACAGTTGAAAGTACAAAAATTATTCCTAAAAGACATGGGGGGTTGCTAAATCCTTCAGTTTTCAGTGTCAATCATGCAGCGAAGAGACAACAGGCAGGCACAGGCAGTAGCATTGGAAAAGATGGAAAGTACAAATCAGCAGACTTGCACAAAAAGACCGAACAGAATATATTCATTACAGCTCCCCAACTAATAATCAGCATTGCAATGTTTCTTTCATCAAAATAATGCGCAAAGATAGTGAAATGGATATGATACCTGTCTACCTTTCTTTCATCTCTTGGGTTTCTTGAAACCAATGGATTTATGTGGGCTATTGTTAGTATGATCAACCAATTCCTTTTGCTTTTACCGTCAAAAGAAGTTGGTGAGAGCCAAATTACCCCACAAAATCATGGATCATTTCACTTCCATAATGGCGTAGTAGTTGCTCATCTTGTTGCTGCTGTTGATGGTGAGCGCTCTCGACTCGGTGGCGAAGGCCTAATGTTAGAGACACAGTTCCGACTCCTCCGACGTCGACCGCGCTGGCTCTATATGGCACGAACCCCATCAATTCTCCTTCCGTGTTGGACTGAACCCCATTGTCCAATCTGGATGGTTTGCCTTGATCCCACTGACTAGTAATAATTTCATTCACATCACCATGGCTTTTTAGAGGCTGTTGTTCACTACTGGTCCAACCGGCTGTGTTTTCTATTGTAACATGGCCTTTGTTGTTCATTTCTGCCATGCCATTGGTTTCTAGCATGTGTATCTCTTCTACCATTGGCTTCCACACCCGCACTCGTGCATTTATGAACCAATTCGAGACCTGAAATATGCGGTCATATTTTAAAATAAATATATGATGAATCAAGTAATAGTGGCATGGTGTTATTGGTAGTAACACAAACTTAATATGATATTGTCTATTTTGAGCCTGATCTCTCGTGGCTTTATTTTTTATTTTCTCAAAAGGCCTCGTACCAATAGAGACGTATTCCTTACTTATAAATCTATGGTCAATCCCTTAATGAGCCGATGTGGGACTCATCTTCCAACAATCCTCAAGCAATTATAAGCTACAAGTTTCAATCTCATATTCCGATATACTAAGTTTATGGCAATGACATCCTATGCCACTAATCAACCAGAAGGAAACAAAACAGCAAGAGAAACTGTCCTAACAACCAGATTAAACACCTTTTTCCACAAAAAAGAAGTCTAATAATGATAATAATTCAATAAGAACAGAAACTTTATGATACCTGGTTTCGAGATAAGCCTGTTTGAGTGGCCAACATGTGTTTATCTGTGTCCGTGGGGTACCTGAAATATCAGCAAAAAATAAAAAGTGAGAGATTTCTCAAGTCAGCCCTGAAGAAGTAGAGTCTAATAGGGATCATACGGGTGAAGAAAATGCTCAAAGAGCCAGGCTCTAAGAATTGCCACAGCACGTTCAGGCAAGCCTCTATGCGGCCTCCAAACATTTTGGGATTCGAGGAATCCGATATTAACAATGCCGGTTTTTTGCTTTTGGAAGCTCTGTTCCATGTATTTCCTGCCGCTTGTCCCAGCAGAGATGGACGACGAATCCTCACCAACTACCTTCCTCAGATACTTCAATTGTTCGGAGATGGCATTCTTTAGAGACTGGAAGTGTCTTGACACTGTCTTAAGCGCCAGAGAAATGTAAGGCGTCGCAGAACTAAGCCCAGCCACTGATTCAAACGATGACACTACCATTTGCATTTGCTGATGATATTGTTTGTATCTTCTGCAAACCTTATGATACAATGGCAAAACAAATTAGAAACATGGAATTGCAGCAAATGTTGTGCCGTAATGCCACAATGATACCAATTGTTGTATCAATAGCAGAAGCAAGATGGAATGTACTCAAACACCCATGAATAGAAATTAAACAAAGAGACAGATTTACGTGGTTCGAAAAGAATAAATTCTCCTACATTCACAGGTAGTAACCAATCTTAATAATCAAAGTGTTTACACAATTGTTATTCAATGTGATACAAACTCAATCAAATTCCAATATTCTCAATTAATATGAGAATCATGTTGAATATTAATCAAAATTATAAACTTAAATGGGAGTTAAATACCAAAATAAATAAGAATTTTAATCTAAGCGTTCTAATGCAACGAACCTCGTCGAGCATATATAGAAGTTTTGCCTTCTTTTTCTGATACTCAGGTTGATGAGATTCAGAGGAAATGCTCCCAACTCCACTAATATTTGTTTCATCATCTGCATTAAGGGCAGGTGAGGACTCACATGGTTGGACAAATTTATGAGCATTTGAGCTACAAAATTCGTCTAACAAAAGTTGAGCAGGCTTTAAGAATTTGGAACTCTTTAAAATGGTGGCATACCCAATAAAGGGACCAAGAGGGCCAGTGTTTCTATATGGATTCACAGAAACTCCCATCATATTTTGAAGAGATTTCCCATAATTTTTGTTACCAATAGTTTCAGATTTGACTGTTTTGGATTCCTCTGATTCTTGAAACTGTGTATTAGAAGACAGAGACAGCGCTAGACGTTGTGGATTGGAATCACTCACAAAACCAGTAGTGTCATAAGGCAACACGTTTGACTCATTTCCACGGCCTTCACAAGCAGCAGTTTGGTTAACAACATCTTGAAGTGTATAAACTGTGGAATCATTCAACATTTCACCTCCCAAACAATTATTTCCACAGTTCATCTCCCAATCAGAACTTTTCCAATAATTGGAAACAGAACCCAACGAAGCATCTCCCACAAGTTCTTGGCTCAACATTATGTCCGAATCTCTCGAGAAATTGATCATAACTGAAGGCAAAATCGAATTCTTGTTAAAATTTTGAATTCTAACAAGATCTAGATCCAAACCAGAATGGCCTGAGTTTTGAAAACTCAATTGTTCATCAGAGTTTCTTGATACTCTTAGCTTATCACGCCGGCTTTGTTGAGCGACATGTTCAAATCCATAGCTATGTTCCATTCACCCAACTTTTTTAATTTCCCTCACTTTCAATAACACCACATGAACTTGCTTCCGTCCCCCAATTTCCAAAAACAAACAATATCGTAGTTACCATCAGACCTGCAAGGCATCGAAATGCAATAATTGCAACACGAACATCAAAAAACAGAGTCGCCGTCGATATTTTTTTTGTCGTAAAATCTACTAGTCTACCTCTAAAGCCAATAATTATCGACACATAAAGATGAACATTGCAAAATCCCAAACAGTGTCGGTAAAACCTTCAACTATGAAAATCTCTCTCGAAACTTTTGATTTATTAAATTTAAAACAATTCACACGTAAATCTCTATCTTCAACCTAAACTTGCAGTGCGCCAAATTTTCTTTGAAATGAAATCGAAAATAGAAATATCCGTGGAGGAAGATCATACACAGAAAGCATCAAAATCGTATATCCGTAAAAACAAAAATAAAATGAAATGAAATCGAAAATAGAAACAGCAAAAAAGATGCTCATATCCACTTCAACAATTCAGACGGAAAATATTTCTGAACTATATAAAACATTTCTTTGTAACACTAAACGAAAAGCAGGAAGGAAAACCTAAAGGAAAGCCGATCTTCTTCTTCTTCCTCGCTGTCTTGTGTTTATCCTTGTAGTTCTTCCGGTTGGTGTTGCTGGTGAAAACGACGGCGAAGAAACGAGAGTTTTCAAAAGTTAGTTGAGAAGAGGAGGTGTGGCAATGTATCGGCGGACGCGGTGGCGCGGAAGGATTCCGGCGAGTTATACCGGCGGTGGAATTAGGGGACAACAAATAGGGACTGGTGGGAGTGAGGTTTTGAAGAACAATGATTGCAAAAAAGCAGAAATCTCGACGTCAAGGATTTAACGATATAAGAGCGCGGGTAACGGTTTTTTGAAAGGCGTTTCAAAAAGTGTGGAATCGGCCGTTAAATTTAACGGCAAAATAAAATATGAATAGTAATAAGTCCGAATTTTCAGAAGTATTTATTCATTTCTTTTTGAAATTTTGCTTCATAATTTTTAAAAATAAATTGGAACTTTAAAGTTAAAAATATTAGAATTAAATTATTAATTAAGAAATAAATGTATAATTTAATATATATATATATATTATGAATATGTGGCGATGAGTATACGTATTATACGTGCGCCCAAAAAATTTGCAGGGTTGGTCCTCACACGAGTCGTCTGACGGTTACAATAAATGCCACTGCTTTGTTCGGTTATTTACTAAACTGCCATTTTAGTAAGAAACGTGTGTAGTAACTTTCAATTCTTTTAAGTCTTTTTTAGTTATCTTATTCTTAGGATTGCTCTCATCTAGATATGATCTCGACTCATTTATATATTCCTCCGTTACTCTAGTGTCACATGCCGATTAGTTTTTGCATTGGTTCATCCTTAAACCACATCTTACTTGGAAAGGTACTACTCTGATATCATTTGTAATGACTCATGCACAGGATTCGATACCTGATGGTCTCGACATTTCCTTGCGACATGGTCACGTTACTTATTTCTCACTTTTAAGAGTGAAAACTAACTTCACAGACCAACACAAGTTCTTCGAGCATATTTTGTTTTCACTCGCATGTATCTTAAGAAAGCTTTTAGAAGATCTCGCAACCTAGAATTGTTTCAACCAAAATAAGTTTAACCATAAAGTTTCTATGTTACTTTCCGCTCTTTTAAATCTCTCTTAATCACATTCTATTCTTAGGATCGCTCTCATTCAAATCTTGGTTTATTCATGTACCATTCTCTTATGGAGTGTCACACTAAAAAAGAATCTTTCAAGGTTAAAATCGTGGAGGTAACGTTTGAAGGTAGGAAATTGTCAAGTCAAGCTTGAATCGTCTTTTTAACTCTTCATTTGGTAGTTTTGTAATCATATTAGCTTGGGATTTTATGTTTATTTCACAAACATTTGTACTAAAACTTATCTGTTCTTAATGATCGATGAAACCATTGTTTTTTATGGTTTGATTAACTCAATGTAATGTTTATTGTCCTCACTCACATGCATCATTTCATCAAAATCGCTCTCATTCAGATGTCGTCTCTGTTAATTCATGCAGTCCTCTAACTTCTGCTTTGTTTAGACTACAAACAACATCTTATTGAGACAGATATTATTCTGATACCAATTGTAATGACCCATACCCATAATTTAGATAGTTACACGCTCAAAAAAAAAAAAAAAAAAAAAAAAAAAAA